GCCAGGGTCGGCTACGAGCCTAACAAGACCAAAGAAGAACAGGCCCTCTCCTTTGTAGGCAGGGTGGCAACTTTCTCCAAGCGGGATATTGTTGTCTATACTGACGGGTCCCAGATGTCAGACGGCAGCAGCACCTCCGCCGGAGCAGGCTGGGTAGGGTACCAAGCTACACGGCAGATCTTCCGCGGATCCGAACCACTCGGCTCCCAAACTGAGGTGTATGACGCGGAGGCACATGCTGCGTATCACGGCCTGATGGAAGCCGCCCGGGCTCCTACGGCTCGTATGGCAGATAACGTCCACATCTGCCTCGACAACCTCGCAGTCGCGGCTAGACTATACTCCCAGAGCACAGGAAGCAGCCAGGCTAGATTCAGGGCCTTCAATGGGCTCTCTTCCTCCTGGACTCGGAGACAAAGAGAAAGCTGGACAACCCCCGGCAGGGTTTATGTTTGGTGGTGCCCTGGGCACACGGGAGTACCAGGAAATGAAGAAGCGGATGCTCTAGCCAAGGAAGCCTGCAAACTAATCCCAGAATCACAACCACAGCCCTCATTAGCGCACCTAGAAAGGCAAGCTAGAGCAGCTGCCTTCAAAGCCTTTGCCAGGAAATGGCTGTCGCAATGCCCTCGGCAATATGCTGACCTCGAGATAGTTCCTCATCCCAAGCCGCCCGAACTCTGCCTCCCTCGGCACCTACTAGGAAGGCTATACGCAGCAAGATCCCATCATGGAGACTTTGCAGCATACCACGAGAGATTCTCTCATCAAGATGCGCTGCTCAACTGCAGCTGTGGGAAACCCAAGACTCCAGTCCATTTCTACTTCTGCAAGCGTGGACGCAAGGCTACACCGCGCTACCTCCGCCAACATATGGCCAAAGCAAGCATCGATTTCTTGTTAGGTTCTGCTAAGGGAGCCTCTCTTCTATGCGAATGGATAGAGGAGACCAATTTCTTTTCCGAAATTTGCCCGAGTCATTGAACAGGAACGTTAGGTGAAGACGGTAGCCTGTAACATAGTTTAGATCAGCATAGACCATGTCGGCATAGCGCCCGGCACGTCCTTTTGTTACCAGACGTTAAATACATCATCATCATCATCATCATCCGAGATCGACAACTACATCGTGATCTTCAACCTCCATCATCCAGCCACTACGTTAGAAGCCATAGATGAACTATATTCACCAGTAACTTATCTTTTGAGGTAGCGAATCCAATCCAGTCAGACTGCATCTCTTTCTAGACTAATGGCGTCTTTGTTTGATCGTCTGGTCGGCGTGTTCAGTAATAGTTGGTGGTAGGTGTAAGGTACCACACTTGTGTTACACGGCTGAGCCCAAAGTTAATAACGGTTTGGAGGTCCCACGCTTGATCTTTAGCTCGGTGCCCGACCTTAGGGAGAAATGGCGTCTCCGACTTCGGTAAAAGGGAGAGAGAGAATGATGGGACTTCGCCTACCGCGCGGAGAACCTGAGAGCTCGTTAGCATGCAGACTGACAATGCGACACCTCTGATAGGTTGTCTCTGCTTCAGCTACGACGACTTGTCCTCAGCATGCAATTATCGTGCCTAACTGAGAACTCATCTGTCATGAATCGTCGTGTCTCCGGCATTTTGCGCACACGGTGATGTGAAGAGTGGGAACCAGTGACCTTTCATGAAACCTTGGATTTCCAAGTCAACTCCACTAAGCATGTATGTACGCCGTTGATCTATGCCGATGCAGCTACATATGAAACCCAAATGCCTCACATATCACAACCTCGCTACCGGGTCCACAAGGTCGATTAATTCGGAGTTGGGATACTCTGGGTTCTGGAGATGATCCGGGCGCTCACGATCCCACGCCCACCTCGTCTTCAGCTCTGGCGACAGCGAGTCTTCTAGCATCTGGATCACATACTTGCCAAGTACAGGGAAGAACTTGAAGCCATGGAATGAACCACACGTGGCGAGATACAGACCCTTGGCCGCCGAGTGCGGAGAGATGATGAAGTCTGAGCTAGTTGTGAAGGCGTCCCTAAACATAGAGTCAGCACGCTGCTTTGGAACCCAGAACATGGCTTGACCATTGGCGAGTCACTTACCAGCAGATCCGGTGCTTGGTCATCTTCCAGTCTGCGCTCTTCTTCCCGTACCACAGATTGCGCTGCTCAACGATGTCTTCTTTGAGCTGCCGAGACACCTTCCACTGGCTGTAATCTCGAGCCGGCGGAGGCGCTGAAACGTGGCGACCGGGCAGGATTTCTTTGGTATTTGAGAAGATCTTTGATCCCCACCACTTGAGTTCTCTGTCCTTCGTCGGCGGAATGCTTCCGATAAATGGCTTGCCTGTTTCAATTGTGAGTTACTTTCGCCGCCTAATCGCAATGCGGAAGGAGAGAGAAGGCGTGGAGTCGTTGACAAAGACAAAAACAGAGAAAGAAAGCCTACCATGCCCTGTGTAACCCTGGAACCCAACGGGCATGTCGGCATACTTCTTGTACTCTTCTTCGTCAAGCTCCGCCATGCCAGTGGTAATTCCAGCAGCCAAAATACGGTCGCCGGCTCGGAGGTTGCTTAGGCCGCTCTTTGCGGCACTCAACTCTAGCAACTTTGGCGTGTAAGCTCCTGTGGAGAGAATAGTGTGTTCCGCAGTCAGGATTTCTCCTGCCGTCGTCTTGATACCTGTGCAGTTGCCACGCTCGTCAAATTCCAGAGAAGCAGTTTCAGCCGTCACATATTTGACGCCTAATTTGATGCATTCGCGAGTGACAGCTCTTAAGCAGTCACCAGCAGCAGCCCACCCACTCGCGCGGTTGACAAGAACTTCTTTAGCGCCAGAGTAGTCAGCATCTTCGAAAAGACCATTGTACAATTTGCGGGCTTCAGCGATGGGCAAGGCAATAATATCGTCTTTGCGGCCGAGCTTCTTGTGGTGGTCTATAACATTCTGGGCGTAGTCGCTTCGGCAGATCCAGTAAACACCCGTTTGGTGGAAATAAGGCTGCCAGAGAGGGTCGTTCTTGAAAGTGTCTTGGGCCTCCAGGGCTAGCTGACAGTAGGTAAAGTCATCGTAGTCGGCGCGGACCACCTTGTTCCAGTCCCATGAGGCGGCCACGCGCTCATCGGCGTCGAATGCATCCTTGTCGACCAGGGTCACGGATGCATCGGGGTACTTCTTGATAAGGTGATAGGCGGTAGACACACCAAACACACCAGCGCCGACAATGAGATAGGAGGGTTTGCTCTGGTCCATTTTGTTGAAAAAGTAGAATGACATGGATCGGCGGGAGAGGGGGGAAGAACTTGGTCAAAAGGGGACTCTTGCAGCCAAGCAGAGTAGAGAGCTCTTCCGGCTATGGAGGTTCCCAGGACGGCACAGAGAGACGGAAACAAATAAGTCGAGTGTTACCTTGAATACCTTGCATCGTCACTTTCACGGAGCGAGAAGACGGTTTACTTATCGGTGACCCGTGTGAACTCCCCCGCCTCCAAGAGCGGAAGCGGTCCCGATGTCGGCTGAGACTCCGATTACCGATCACGTGACGAATCGAGTTATCCGGGAACCGGCTTGCTCTGTGTGGTGTAATCCTCTCTATCATCCAAAACATGAGCATCACCAGATCGTGATCCTCGCGTTCTGGAATAGAAACACTGCAATGCAAGTTTATCTTGTAGGTTGAAGACGGACACTGGGCATTGGCTGACCTTTTGAGTTACTTCGGTTGGATATTTCATAACTCAAGGGCAAAGATCAGGGATGCCCCCCGGGCGAAGCACGATAAGACACTGGGACCCAGTATAAGCAGGGCAATGATCCTTACCAGAATCTCCCTGAGCTACTCGTCTCCTCCATAAACAGCAGATACGGTCAACACCATGACGATAGATACGGGAATCATCGGTGTGCCTGTATGGTACGACTTGACCAGGTGGTTGACTCGTTGACAGCTGTACCCTACATCGCGGATCAGCAATGTAGTGCAAAGTGCCGGTCTGCTACCGAGCGTGACAGGCATTTGGACTTGATGCACGGCGGCCAACGCACGAAGGGTATCCGGACTAGTGCGCCGACGGCGTCACGTACGTCGAGCCGCCACACATGGTACGAGAGGGAGCGTAGAATGGAGTGAATGGGACGAACACAGTGCTACATTGATGCCAATGGAACAAAAGCTATTACGTTGTTGGCATCAAGAATGAGCAGCGGCTGGAAAACGACGTGTAACCATCGGGTGCCAATGGAGTCAAAACCGCCTGGGCGTTCACGAGGCGGGGTCTGGGGCACTACCCAATGAAGAATGCACAGTGAAAAGTTTCCAGATTGGGAAAGGATACTCGTTAGCGGCAGATATGTGACAGATACTGACTCCACCGACCGGGGGAGCTTCTGAGGGCGATGACTGGTCGAAGCTGTGATAAGCAGGGATGAACAACCTTAAGTCTGTGTGTAGAGGTGGACCGGATCTTCATGGGAGGATGTCCAGCTCAAAGCACGAGTATGAAAAGTCTAGACTCCTGGGGGTGGGCGCTGCATCGAGCAATGCACCATGATGAATGTTATCTCCACTGCCCTCAAGGGCCCCCAGCTTGCCCAGAACCTCTACCATCATAGCGCGGCTCGGTCCGTATATCCCACCCCATGGTGTTTGGAGTGCGAACCGGTCCGCGTGAGATGTGTTCGCCGGTCATGTGATCGGTATTCACGACCGCATCAACAGCCACCTGATGGCTATGGGTGTCCGGAATTGTCAGAGGCGCTCGGTGTGCGACATCGAGCACCGGCCGGCCCAAACGATGGTTTCCAGCCCAAGAGATAGGAAAGGGCGAAACACGGACTCAGTTGACCGGCCAGGGCTTATCATGGCTATATAGAAGGACTGCCATCTCGGTTCATAGAGTTGTAGATAACCCAAATCAGACCACAATCATCAGATTACAACTACCGAGCATCAGCTCCAATTCCTGAGCTCTCATCGTTTCCAACGAGCTATCATCTTACACAGATTTGTGGGTTTAGCAATGTCACTTTTCAAGAACTACTTCGGCCTCGGCGGCTCCAAGCCTACTGCCCAGGATGAGAAGACCCCTGTCAGAGCCCTTCCTGCCTCCTGGTACACCTCTCAAGAAATGTACGAGCTTGAACGCCGTGCCATCTTTTCCAGAAAGTGGCTCCTTACTACACACAAGGCCAGAATCCCCAACCCGGGTGATTGGGTCCGCTACGATGTTGCCGGCTACCAATTCATCATTGTCCAAGACCGAAAGGGAAACATCAATGCTATGCATAACATTTGCCGGCACCGAGCATTCCCCGTTGTGACTAAGGAAGAGGGAAACAGCTACGTCTTCTCCTGCAAATACCATGGCTGGTCCTACGGTCTGGCAGGCAACCTGGCCAAGGCCCCTGGTTACCAGGAGCTCGCGGGCTTCGACAAGTCTCAGAACAACCTTTTCCCCATCCACGTTCACGTCGACCGCAACGGTTTTATCTGGGTCAACCTTGATGCTGCCGAGAAGCCCGAGATTGCGTGGAACGACGATTTCCTCGGCATCGACGAACAGGAGAGATTCGAGCATTACAACTTTGAGGACTACGTCTTTGACCACCACTGGGAGATGGAGGGAGAGTGGAACTGGAAGATCCTGGCCGACAACTACAACGAGTGTTACCACTGCCCGACCGCCCACCCAGATATCCCCTCCATCGCAGAC